ATATACAAATGAGAGTTCCTTTTTGGGGGGTTTTCGAGACAGGGTTTCTCTGTGGCTTTGGAGGCTGGCCTGGAACTAGCTTTTGTAGACCAGGCTGGCCTGGAACTCACAAAGATCCGTGTGCCTCTGCCTCCCGAGTGCTGGGATTAAAGTTGTGCGCATCCACCGCCCAGCGACCTGGAACATTCTCGCAGGAGAGAAGTAGTCTTAAAGTGTGAGTAGGTATTTAACAAATAAATACAAGGAGAGACAAATACGGGTTTCCAAGCAAGGAATAACATATATAAAACTACACGATGTGCTAATCTATGATCACATGGTATATGTTTATGCAATTGTAATCTAGACTAAGCAATAAGTGACATTTTCAAAAAAAACAAACAAACAAGAGCCATCACATAAATAGCTTTGTATGCAAAAGAAAGAGGTTGGAGGTCTGATGGTTTTCTAGATGAAATAGACCCTTTGCATTGGACATTTTAAAGCAATCCTATTAGCCATGAATTAAAGAACTGAAGAATGGCATTTCTATGGAGTGATTAAACTAACCACATTTGCTTTGTTTACTTTAAAAAAGAAAATTTCATTCTGACAAGTTGCTCTACAGTGGACAGCTACCAGTTTTCTGTTCCCACTGAGGACAAAAACAAACAAACAAACAAACATGGGTTTTTTGAAGCAGAAGGGAAAATTACCTCTCGACTAGGTCCTTCACAGATGGATTGAATGTGGTTGATATGGATCATTAAGTTGTTGTTTCTGGCTCCCTGGTTGAATTCAGGAATCTGTGTCCTTAAATAGCCAGATTTCAGAACCATGCCATGACCAACAATTACTAGGTTTGAATGACTTAGCGATAGAATCAATAAGTCCTTTAGGGAACCCTGGGGAGATGGCTCAGTGTTTAAGAGCACTTGCTGTTCTTACAAAGCACCTGAGTTCTGTTTCCAGCACCCATACCAGCCAGTTCTCAGTAGTCTTTAACTCCAGTTTCTGGGGATCTTCTACTCTCTTCTGGCTTCCAAAGATACCTGTATACATGTGGCATACACACAAACACATAAACACATAAAAATGAATGATTTTTTAAATTAGGTGCCCATTAATTACTCATATATTTTTCTCTCTACCTATCTAAAGCTTTAGTATTGTATTTGAACATGCAAAATTTACTATCCTTAGTTATATATTATTTATATATATATTTGAAGAGATGATCAGAGGGGCTTGAGAAATGGTTCAGCAGTTAAGAACACTGACTGCTCTTCTAAAGGACCCTGGTTCATTTCCCGGCACCCACATGGCAGCCTACAACCGTCTGTAACTCTAGTTCCAGGAATTTTGACATTCTCACACAAAATATATACACGGAAAACAGCAGTGCCCATTAAAACAATAAATCTAAGAGAGAGTTGGGGGGAGAACAGAATTGGCCATAGATGTAGATGTTGTTCTACCAAGGGTATTTTGTATTCATGTACAGTCTGGATGTTATTAAATATTAGGGAGATTGAATTCATTTAATTTCAGTTATTAATCTTTTGTGTATAACAATTACTGGCCAGGTGACTGCAATTAAAACTATTATGTATGTGGTTTATTAGCTAACAGATCTTGGTTATTGCAGTGATTCACTCATATTTTCATTGATTTTCATTAAGTCAGGTTACTGAAATAATACAAATTTTTTTAGCTTTTCAAAATATTTCTATTTTATGAATCCACTATTTTATTTTTAGGTTTCGAAAAATACGCAAAATAGGTGATTGTGGAGTAGCCTCTCCCAATCCTTTGGCAGCTTATAAAAATAAGTCTGGTGTCTGTGAAGTTGCTTTATGAGACAGGGTCACTTCACTCAACTTCACTCAAACCTCAGTGAAGTTTGAGGTAGGAATAAAGCCAAAACATAGACAAAGGTGCCAAAAGGCACTTTGCTTCTGGCTACACCAGTCTTTGAAATGCTTGTAGCATACTTGCCTCTGAGACTTATGCATGCTGGAGCCGGCCTACCTCCTTACTTAGATATTTGACATGAATATGAAATTTTAACATGATTTTAAGTAACCAGATATCAAACAGAAATCAATTTTATCTCTTAATAAACTAACCCAACTACTTTGGAAGTGATTTTGTACATATTCAGATTACATTACCTTTGTTCTACCCCCAAGAGATGAATATATCCAGCTTGTCTACTTACAACAGCAAATTATTGGATAAATGTCATTAACTAGTAGTATTGATGAAAGTGTTTATAGTTGCCTTCTGTGCTAAAAATGAACAATACTACATGGACTGAGACAGAAAGACTATAGCTAGCGTGTAAATGATACAAAGGAAGAAATGCTGCAGACACAATATAAAGTAATGCACTACATTAAGGAAAATAATTTGCATTATATTTTAATATTATTTAGTTTTAAAGAATTAATCTAAGGATTATACATAGAAAGAAAGATTTAAAAAGACCACCTATTGGTCATCATTTCCTGCCAAAGACTTTTAAAAAAGACTGTGTGTGTGAGGGTTTCTCAAAAATAAATATTGCTATATAAACTAAACATCTTGTCTCCCATACCAACTAGAGCTATTTCTCATATTGACAAGGCAGGTGCTTCACCCTGTTTGCCCATGCTTTTAAGGGAATGTTATGGTTCTAAAATTTCACAAGCATATTTTGTCTAGGAGGCCTATTGATTTAATTAGAAATAATAACATTTGTTTGTATTTGTTTTTGTAGATTCAACCATTGACCATGGTAAATTGCAAAACAGAATTATATTGTTAGTGGCACTGAGAGTGAATAAATATGAAATCACTTTTCAGTACTTGAAAATTGTTCAGTGATTAAAGTGCTTGGTGATCACATAAGAGATCTGGAACAGGATCCTTAGGCAGCAAAAATAAAAATGGCAGAGTTGATCATGTCTAACTCATTGATTGGAGGCAGAGGCAAGCTAGGGCTTGCTGGCCTGCCACTCATTCTGGAATAGCAAGCTTCATATTTAGTGAGAGACCCTGTCTCATAAAGCAAGATGGGGAATAATAGAAGACACCATATATTGAGTTATTTCTTCAGCACATGCATGCACAAGCAAGTGCACCTTCAAACACGTGCATTCACATGCAAACAACACAGAGACAGGTACACACTCATATACACACAAAATGTACAAATTCAGCAATTTAAGAATGCATGCAGAAGCTGAAGTTTTTACTGTAAAATAATATAAATCCATGGACAAAGAAAAAGGTAATGCATAAAATTAGCATATGACAATACCATTTTCTGTTTTATTTGCAATACTGGCTATGTACATTTTTAGCAGCTGTAAAATACCTGTGCAATTTGGTATCTTGAACATTGTGTAAGTGTATGTTGTTCCTTTTTCTCTTCTTTGTTTATACGTCTTTGTCTCCACAGACTTTGGAAAAAATGCATTTTCTTACTATTAGGGATGGGGGAATTTTCCTGCAGTTTACCTTGGCACCTATTTGGGGGGATCTTAGATGTTAAGTTTTAAGGGATTTTTTTTCAAATGTCCCACATACTGCAAAATGTTGCACTTTGTGAAAATATAAAACAGTAATCCCAGCTAAAGAGTTCTCTTTGGGGACCAGAGCTTCCCATTGATTCTGCTATAGCTGCTAGCCTTACTTAAGATAAACTGCCCTTGAGGTTCCTGTTGCTTTTTGTTCTTACAGCTTGTCCTTGGATTGTGGGATTCAACCTTGTAGTACTAAAAGGTATCTGGTGAATCAGCCTGAGTTCAGCATTTTAAATATTTTCCATATATGGAATACTGTATTTGTAGAATTTCTCAAAGAAATATAACAACAAACCCTACTACATTATGCCTCCTGTGTCCATTTGTTCATAAAGTCTTGAGGCTAATGTTCTTTGTATTTGTTAACATCATGAGGATGTAAATAGTCAATAAAAGGTTTAGCACATAACAGATTTGATATAGGCCTGATATAATAAACGCTATGATTCCTTTTTGTTTGTTTGTTTTTAGTCACTAAAACAATAAGGGTTAATTTATTTTGTAATTACCTAAGTATCATCTGCAGCCTTTCCTAAACCTGTTTGTGAAGAAGATATATTTATTCTAAACAGAGTAATCCTTAAAGCTAAGACCCCAAATCAGTATGAACACCAGTGGAGAAAGACATCATCTAAGGATTATAGAATTAAAACATCCAATAAACGGAGAAAAATATGAAATGTTGTCTTGTATTTATGCATTGTTTTTAAGTAAATCTCTGATTTCATTTGCAGCTGTGTCTAGTTTTAGAGAGCTACAAAAGGAAACATTAGAGCCTCCTAAATTTTTGAGGTCTATCCTTTAAAGATTTTTGCCATTCTATTGATAGCATCTTTTTCCCCTTGTATCTTTAAAAAGTCATGCAATGTTAAGCAAATAAATAATAAATAATTTCGTGTTCCCATGACTGAGTAGTCTGATTTTGGTTATAAGTCTGAAAGAAACAACTTTGTAATTTTTTTCTTATGGGCCTTGCAAGTATAAGAATATAAAACATGCTGTTTTCTGTTAATTTGCATTGATGATAGCTAGAAATAAATTTAATCTCACAAATGAATGCATCTTTCAAGAATATATTTTATAATAATGCAAAGACCACAGTGTTCTTAGAATCAACACACATTAACTGAGGCTATTACTATAAATACTTAAATGAGTGTTCTTGTCTCATAAAAAGAATAGTTCATTTTGCCATAATGATTGAGACATTTTTGAAAATATATATTAAGGCTTAATTTGCCTTTTATATTAGTGTTTTTCTCCTTTATAAAATAATAAGTTCATTTTAAGATCCTGGACTGTTTCACTAGATGCCATTAAGAAGCAACTGCCAACTTAATAAAAAAAAAAAAAGGTCAAGTGAGCTTCATTATGATCTATATTCACTCTTTTGTTTGATTTGTTTAAGGAAAATGTCTACTTAAATTTTAAAATGCTATTTTTCCATTCCAGATCAGAGATACAAAGTCAGCAGATCAAAAAACAACCCTTTTGCATTTTCTTGCTGAAATCTGTGAAGAACAACACCGTGATATCCTGAAATTTCCTGAAGAGCTGGAACATGTGGAAAGTGCAAGCAAAGGTAATCAATTGGCATTATTCTTTAAGACTATTCTATTCTTAGCCTATGTGTTTTAGTATAATGAGACAATTCAAAAGGAAGCTATGCACACTATTAATCATAAAACTTCTTTGTTGATGTTAGAAAGTGGAAAAATAGTTTTGATTGGCTCATATTTGACTCCACTGTACATTCAAATAACCTCTCTTCATCTTTCTTTTTAACAGTGCTAAGTCATTGGAGTTTTTTGACCTCTAATGAAACAATACATTCTATTCTTTAAGTTGATATGAACTTAAATGTACAGTGTAAATGAACCATACTTTTTTGATTCCAAAGTGATTCCAACACATTGTTCCTTGAGAAGGTTTTAAAGATAATCTTCTATAGTTTAGATAAAGAAGAAAGAACTTTGGAATGGGTAAAATATGAGGCTGAAGTTTTATCAGCATGGTAAAGGGATTGCTGTCCAGTGATAACTCAACAGGTGCCAGGTTAACTAGCAGAGTCATTGATGATGGACCTATAGGAGTAAGGTAGGCACCTCAGAAATATCCAAGGCAGACTCAGGTCCCACATCACTCTATACTGAATTCAGGAATGAAGGCACAAGGGGAGCAGAATGCTTGTAAGATTTTAAGGCAGTGTGAATAGCTTCATCAACATTGTCCACACTTAACAAGTGAATACAATGTAAAAGGAAAATGAATCAAGGAAATGCCTTCTGGAGGTGATGTTATGTGGGTACAATGTTTATTTTTTCTTTTAGATAAGAGAAATATGTACTGTAATGATTATATTCTGTAACTTTGAGACTTTAAGGAAGGACACAAAACTATGTTTCCCAAACTTACTAAAAACTGAATAACCCTGTTAGTGTCTTTTGAAGGAATATCCTGGAAAGTCCAAAATGTCACTTGTGGACATGGTTCTGCAGTTCTCTGCTGCTATGGGATTACCAGTCAGATCCTTGTCTTATTTTTATTTTTTTTTCTATTGTGTCCTGTACTGTGGTCCAAGGACCAAAATTGATTATTGAAGATTCCTCGTGATTCCATAGTATTAAGTATTCCCTTCATTAAATGTTTGTAATATAATAGAAAGTTATATTTATAAGTATGTTTCTATTTTTAAGTTGTTTCTAAAACATTAGTACTTCAGCCATTGTTACAACTGATAAATGCAGACAACAAAACCTTTCAAGTTGTTTCTAAAACATTAATATCGACTACTTTAGCAATTGTTATGCTGCTAAATGCAGGCACCAGAACAAAACCTTTTCAACTGTTTCTAAAACATTAATACCAAATACTTTTAGCCATTGTTACAACTGCTAAAGGCAGACAGCAGAACAAAAACTTTTAAGTTATCATGAATTTCTAATTCTAATTGTATTATTTACTAGTTTCAGAGCACCGAGGTAGTGATTTCTTGTCCCCATCTAGAAAATCACAGTGAATGTCAATAACAGTAAGATGAAATAAGTAAACTAGCATACAAAGCATACAGTAAAATCTTAGTAAGCCCACACCTGTTATACTACTGTCATTAGAACTGATAGTGATAGTACTGTTAAGAATTGATGCACCAGTAAGTACATTGCAGTGTTTTGATTGTTAGATTAGAAGAAAACTATTAAATATGTCTTACAGTCCTTCAAGGTTCAGATAAGCATGCATTCTATTCAGCTTTGTTTCTTTCATATCTGGGCTTTTTTTTATAAATCCGTTCATACCTTTCTTTAACAGTTTCATCACTTTCCTTTCCTCTGTCTATTAAAACAGCGAAATTCATCCATTTTTTTCGGATTACTTGATTTGTGTATTGATCCAGACAGTGGTTTCACAAGACTGTTGCCAAATACCCTTTTCCTGTCTCACTCTTTGGGCTGCAGCAATCCCCACTCTCCACTTGTTTGTGACTAGTTCTTTTCTCCTCCTGTGAAATTCAAAGAGTTCTCAACTCAAAAACTTCTTAAGCACACCCTGCCTGCTTGCGGCCCACTTTCATTTCCTCCCAGTTCTCATTTCAGTGTACCCAGACATATATTCTCTTGAGCCATTTTTATTCCTTTATAATAATCCTGTCTGTGTGTACAATTTCCGGCTGCATCCCCTGCCTGAAAATCTCACCTGCCTTGTCCTCTAAGACAACTGACTATCATTTGTCAAAACACTGTTCAAAATCCATTTCCTTTCTTTCTAATGTCTTGTTACCAAAGCCACAGGAGAAAATACTGTTAAGTTTAGTCTCTACAGGAAGAAAAGAAATGGTGAAAGGTCAAGCGATTTATGTGTTATTTATAGTTAAATACTTGTCCTTAATATTTGAGAGTAATTTGTCTTTGCTTCCTTACCATAAATTCTAGGGTCATTTGAGTCAAATTCTTTCACATTCATTACTGTGTTTCATATACTGTATGTACAATATTCACACACTCACAGTGGAAATAAAAAAATAGATCAACACTATATAATTAATTTACTTTTGAAAATGGATTGTCTTGTGAAATGATCCCCTTCTATTAAAAAACAGAACACTTTTTTAAAAATTGGAGGTAAAGGAATAATGCAAAACCTGAGTTAATGAATGTACTACATTTCACATACAATGAACAAATGTATGAGCACCAGTATCTATTTTTGTGATTATTAAAATTCGGGTACTTACCTAATAAGAAAATGATGTTTTCTGTCTAGAATGGCCAACAACAGGCATATTCTCACTCAATACTAAAAACACAGGCCTCCAAATTCCTGATAATGGAGGGAAATGCCATCACCTTGAGCTGAAAGAAAGGCAAAGAATTATGTAAAATGTAGGGAAACCATTATTTGTATAATTATCTTTATTCTTCACAAAGCTAAGCTTTAAAATTATGCATTTCTTGGAGAAGTAAGCCTTTGGTATCAACTTAGCATATTTTCCTAGAGCTCTGTAACTCAAAGATATTGAAGAAAACACATCATTTTTACATTAAAACAGATACATATTACAGAGTAGAATGCAAAAGCCACATGAATTTTTAAAATAAAACAGATGACTTCAAAGAAATTTCACACTTGCAGCAGATCCCTAGGGGTGGGTGTTCAATCTTCGCTTCCATTAGGGGTACTTTTGTGGGAGAAGTTTATGAAGCATTGCCTGGAGATTTTGAAAGTGGTTCTGTTTTTATTTGAATTTGTTTAGTTATTTAGTTAGCTATTATTGCTCTGACAGGGGAGGCAAGCAAGTAGAGTAAGAAAGTACAGTGTTTTCTTCCAAACATAAATTCTTGTAAATCTGAAGTTCAGAAGCAAATGGTATATGATATAACCTTATTATCAGTGACATTAATAAAATATTACTGTCAAATTATTTTATTCTGTTCTAAAATTTAAGGCTGTAGATCCTTTAATTAGTGACTGACATACAAGCGTGTCTCAAGAAAGAAAATATTGTAGCTGTACAGATTTTGATATCTTCACACATTAAAAACGTACCTGTTATAAACACAATTACCTTTTCCCCAATTTTTCATTTTAATGATTATACATGTGTGCTACAGTGTCTTGTTTTGTGTGAACTTGACAAAAACCATACATTTGGGAAGAAGAAGCTTTAACTGAGAAAGTGCTTCCATTAGCTTGCCTGTGGCAAGCCTTGATTGATGATTGATGTGTGACAGCCTAGCTCACAGTGGGTGCAAAAGCTCTGGTCTGATGGTCTTGGGTGGTATAAGAAGGCAAACTGAGCAAGCAAGTAAGCAGCACTCCCAGATCCAGGTTCTCACTTTGAGTTCCTGCCTTGATGTCCTTTAGTGATGGATTAGAAGCTGGTTTGCATTATGGTGTCCTAACACAGCAATAGAAATACAAGACATGTGAATATATGTTTATATATAATAGATATATAATATATGAAGTATTAATAATTGACTAGACATATTTGGTGAATTCTTTATCCACTCTCTTCACCATAGCTGTCACTTTAATTTTTAGCTTTGAGGATTTTATAGTTTGATTTAAAACCTTTACTGTTTTATGGGTTAGCTCCAGGGATTAAACCAAAAGGGTTAGTAAAGTTTAATTAAAAGTATTCTATTCAATGCAGGAAAATTATATTAATGTATTTGAAGGCACTATTAATCCTAAGGTTTTACATAAATCAGAAAGAGTTTCACTTCATTTAAATTAGTGCCATCTTACAATATAAAAACTAGTTAAGTTTTCCATGAACAATGTTAATTTCTTATGAATTAAATTATATTTTTCTCAGTCAGCTTTGCCTTTTGCTATCTGTCTTGTTTCTATGTTGTATTGCTAAGTGACTATACTGATTTCTTCTCAGGATTTGTAGTGGTGAAATGTCACATTAAAAGTAATCTTGTTTGGAAATTCTAAGAATTAAAGGTGTAAATTTGAATAGAGAAAAATTAGAGGAAAGCAAAATTAGAACAATTTAAGATTCTATAAGTGTCATGGGAAAGAAGAAAAAGAAAAAAGAAAACACAATTCTACCATCTCCCAGTAGCTGAAAATCAAATGTTAAACAAAAACCTGTGGATATATTTTGGAGAATATTTTATATTCAGCTAATCTATAATATACAGAAACATAAAATATTGACACAATACAACCCTAAGAAGAACAGGACAAGCTGTATTAGATTAAGGAAGTCACACACAAGACAGTAAGCTGATTTCATAGGAAGAAAAAGAGAATCAGAAATTTAGGTTAATATGTTATTAGTGTGGACACAAAAACATATAAGTTAATAACTATAACAATTATAGATGAGTATGTAATGGAAGTACTCTATACAGATATTAAAGGAGGTAATAAATGCAGCTATGTAGGAGTAAGATTTCTCTGTCTCACTGGAATTACATTAGTGTGTATCTAAATTAGATACTGATAAGTGCCAATGTGGGAAAGTCTTACTTGGTAAAAGCAGCGACAAGCTGCTTCAAGTAAATAGTTCTCAGGTGTACACACCTGCAACAGAGACAGGATGAGAATGGGATTTGTACAGAGAAGCTC